TTGGGTCAGGTTCTGAGGCCACTGACCCATGCACAAGTCTTTATCAAAATTCAGGTCCCGCAGGCCATCCAAGACATCTCGGTGACGACGACTCCTCTTCAGGAACGCAAAAAATTATCCTCACCAATTGCACTGATATTTGACTGTCATGGCTCCAGCTGCCAAGCTCACTTTGCGAAGCCTCAAAATATATGGGAAAGATAGCCGACAGTTGCGAAACACCAATGAATTCCACGAAAAAGAGGGCCCATAATAAACGCCTGCCGCAGCCCTCTCGCTCCTGAAAACTCATTTGCATTGCATGTGTGTTGAATATGCAGCACATGTACTAAACATACGGAACGCAGACAAATGAGACACCTGCACCATGAATGTCTGACGTCTGCGATGCACCCGCATGCACATGTGGCTCACCCCCAAAGCGCCCGTCTGTCTGGTCTCCGAGTGCAAGTTGGCGGTGTAGCCTATGTAATGGCCGCTATAGGCATAGCGCTTTCTGCGGCCCACGAGCAGCCGAGAACACCGCAGAAAGAATGCAGTGAAAATGCTATTTATCCCTTGGTTTGAACCTTGAGAGACCGCAACACGGCTGGAGACTGACCTGCAGCTGTGCTGGTACGATCAAGGGGTCCACATAGGACGTTAGTTTCTACCTCGTTTCATCTTGCGCAGACGACCACGCAGATAAACGAGCGATGACAAATGTGCAACGCTGGTGACCAGTGATACCTGGTCAACATCGCGTCTAATGAGCGAGCCAACATGCAACACTCCGTCTGCGTCCATCTGTACCAGGGGCATCATGTCAACAACTCGTCAATCGCAGGCGTTCTGGATACTGAACCGCACCAACCACCTATCAATCAAGTACACGTGCTGTTCGAAAAGGCTTCACTCACTGGAGCCATTTCTTCTGTAAACTATCACCCCGTGTTCGCGTGCAAGCTGTGGGTCTGCCAGCCAGAATTGCCCCGCAGTTGCCTGAATCTCTCGATTAAGGTCATCGAGCAACTCGAGCGGTACTGCGCCAAATAATTTCCGAAGGCTTCGAGCAGCACTATAGCGAGAACGAAGAGCATATGGCGCTGCTTTTGATGCGGTCGCAAATGGCTAGAATTTCGTACAAGGAACAAAAGCCTCAGTAGTCCCCATGCCCACGTCGTATGGTAGGCGCACGACCGCAGCAGCAGGGTCATTGTGCAGTATTTCTGGCATCTGCTGGGTGGAAGAGCGTGCTCCTTATTACGAGGAATGCCGTTACTACGCTTCGACGTCACGCATCCAAGAACGCATGTGTACCCACCCCCCTTCCTGCATCGACGAGGATGGCATTGATCTCAACCAAGTTGTCAATATTAATCCGGCGATACCGACGTCAGCAGATGCATTGCATGCCGAGGCGGCTTTAACGACGCGCCCAGTGATACTGGTCGTGAGATGTCATGTCGGACGGGCCCGTGTATGTGAGCTTGACTGCGATAGCTGGTTAGTTGAGATTGGAGAGCAAGAAGTTCTCGGCGGCGTCCGCCGCTGGAGAAGACCGAGATGCGACGAGGCGCCTCCGCGTCTCCCTGCGTTCGCTTGCATATACGCGTCGCACTTAGCTCGCATTTCGGCCGCTTCGTTGATGGTACAGACAGGAGCCTTAGACTAATAGCTACATAACATGCTACTAACCGTACATCCTAGATGATTATACATTGCTTATGCGTACAGGAATTCAACTCACATCCACAATACCTTTCCCTACAATCCAAGCAACACTATTCACCAATGAATGACATCGCGCATACCCCCATGAAGAGCGCGAAGAGCGCGAGGACTTGCCGGCGGAGGCTGCTCCGCCACATCATCGCGTCCATGACAAAGTCGCCCGCGAGCATCTCGACGCACGCGGCGTACACGAGCATGCCCGCGCTCATCGCGCTCATGAAGCCCTGCACGCGCCGCACGCGTTCGGCTGCGCCGTGCTCCGCGAACGCGACGAGCCCGATGCCGATCCCGGCCGGCGTCGTCAGCGCGAACATCGTTGAGAGCAGCGGCTTGAGTATATGCCCTGGCAGCCGCCTGAACGCGCCCTGCGTTGGCGATTCGGGCAGGCCTGCTATCCGGATGCCGAGCGAGAGGCCCTCAAAAAGCTGGTGGAAGAGGATCGCGGTGACGAGCGTTGCTAGGACGAAGGGTCAGGGCATGGCAGAGTGCATCGGGGAACGAACTCACCGAACTCAGGGCCTCGCGTGATGGACAGGGTCAGGCCGATGACAAGCGAGTGCAGCATGATCCCAAGTTGCAGCATCTATGTACAGGTCATCAAGCTAAGCCAGAGTGCATTTCAGAGCAACGATGAAGCGTACCAGGATACCAACGATCTGCCTCCTTCGTCCGACGCGCACCTCTTCTTCGTCAGACTCTTCCTCGCACTCGACTCCTAGCGCCTCGTTATCGGTCGAATGCCACGCGTCCATTCCATGATGGAAGTGCCCATGGCTGTGACCATGGCTACCGTGCGCGTGTACATGCCCATGCCCATGCCCATGCCCATGATGGCTAGGCTCGCGTCCCTTGCCGTTTCCACCCTGGACTGGTGCAACAGCCACCTCGCCCACAACGTCTCCGCTGCCGTACATACGGCCTTCCTCGTCGAACAAGGCGACGGCCGAGATACGCTTCCCCCTGACGCAACTGCAATGCGTAGCATGTGCTTCACGGGTCTCAAAGCGGTGGTGCGATCCCCCAAAGATGTCTTCTACGGGCGCCGCTTGTACAAGCAACGCGGTCGCTTCTCCTGTTTCGGCGACTGGCTGTGAGAGAACAAGCGGGGTCGTCTCATCGGGGGCAGTGGGTACTTGGTAGTTTGGATCTGGTGATGATTTGTTCAAGAGCGGGCTATCTTCCCGAGCGGTGGAGCTGGAATGTGACAATGAACGTTCGCGGATTGACGGTGTGGGGGATTGAGGGGGTGAAGAGTAAGAGTGCAGGTGATCGACGTATGCTGTAGATATATCTGTGGGAGGCATGGACAGTCAGTATGATCATCATCCCAACTTCGTGTTGACGCACATTCTACCAGGAATATGCCTAGAAGAGAAAACAAACTGCGTTCATAAGATAGAGACTCATGTGATGATCGTAGGATAAACATACACAATGAGCCCTGTCCACCTGGAGTTCAGAGACTTGAATGCATCTGGTAGAAGATGTACGAAGGCTGTAGAGAGAATGACCCCTGTGCCAAAGTGTTTCCCAAGAAAGAACACGATAGATGGTATTCGTAGATACTTCAATCTTTTTGACAAGGAAGGGAAAGAGACGGCTGGGGGACAGTGAGTGGATGAAAGGCGTTTGACAACGAAAGTGAACACACCGAAGAGGGAAATAAGAAAGATTGCAAGGCTCACTGAAGCCTTCGTCTCTGCCTCGCTGCTGAACAAGTCTGGTGCTTTGCTTCGAACGTCTTGTCTAGTGTTGTTCATTATCATGGGGATTATACGAGTAGATTGGCGTTGTATAGAAAGCTTGCAATTATCGTCGTCGCCAGCGAGGGCGTGCGGGGGCGGGTGCTGATGGTGGTAGACCGGGACCTCCTCGGCGACGCTTTTGGAGGGGCCGTCGGAGGACCGTATCGGTCGGCGTTTAACCAAAAGGTATGCTGTGATTGGTCGGCAATGTTACCTCCCACACAACTTCCACTTACCCTTGATCCTCCAGCCCGTACTCGGGTCGTTGAGGCCCATAGCTGCGCTGGCAGGGCAGAATGTTTTCTTTGGAGGTGATGAGATGCTAAAACTATCTATACCATCGCAGAATAAGGCCCTCAACGCGACGAAAGTAAGTACCGCAAGTACACACCTGTCAGCCGGGTCCGCGGCACCACAGGCAAGTCCTCGTGACTACCGTCCTCACGCAGAGATATCTTCCACCTTCAAGTCAAGAAGTAGCAAATCATTTTGAAAGACCGGCGTCGCTCTGCTCACTGACTGCCCCTGGGGCTTGGACTGTCCGCGTTTGCCCCAGGTACGCTTAATGACCGCTGATGAACTGTGTTGCGGCACCCTGACTCAGGTGCAGGGCTGTCTAGGGCTGTGCATGCTGTTCATCTGGCACGTCAACGACCTAATGTCCTGAGAGCAGGAGAACCAGACAGCCCACTGTTGGGAACAGTACTATCATTGACCTCGGACCCTGGAAAACGGCAGCAAGTGTGTTCCCCCCTCCCGAATTGTGTAAGTTCATTTGTGCGGTATGGATTCTGGCTTTTGGCTTTTCTACAATGCCTGAAGTTCTCGTAGAGAGGGGCGGAAACCTGGAAGAGTTCCCACGCCATTGACCCCGGTGTCATCAGTCCATTCGATGACACTGCTTAGTTGGTCCGCCACTTCTGTGAATTTTGGCTGTTGACTGGGATCTCGCCATCCATCTCGACGCAGGAGTTGTTCTGCGCGTCTTTCCAATGCTTATAGGCTCTTGTGCTGATCTTGTTGCAGTATTACTGGCTGCTTCCGTCTCGCCTTTGCTACTTATGCTGATTTCTTTACCTTCTCTTAGTGTCTGCTCACTTTGTCAGCCCCCCAGCATGGTCAACCTCCTAAGCACTGCCAGCGATTCGGAGTCGATACATACGTGCGTGACTCGGATGGAACTACCTTTCCCGAAAACATCCTCCTGGAGACGACTTTAATTCTACGGATGCTCGTGCGCCGCAAACTTGCTGGTTGTGAACTTGATCAAATCTCGGAAACCTTCCAAGTAGCCTAGGATCCTGCTTGCCCACGCCCGGAATGTTGAGTGTGATGGTCCAGTTTATTCCCCACAGTGTTTTCGTTCTAGGTTTTGAGTAGATCTTGCCCGATGTCTTGTCAGTCGGTCGCTCCGTCATGTTCTAGATTTACCGCGCCTTTTATTATCTAGTAAACTTATACGTTCAAAAATCTCATCCAGTTACAAACTGAGTAGACCAGACATCATGTCACGATGCAGGACACGGAAATTACAAAAAGGTATACAGTGCAATTACAATTGACCAGAACATAAGCTATAAATTGGCGCTGTAGAGCGGGCTTTCTGCAGAGGGTCGGCGCTGGGGCTGTGTTCCGGGCTCCTATGGTGCGCCGACGCCTGCTGAAAGCCGCCTTATGGGCGCCTAGCGCTGCCCTCGCGACCTGGAGCGGTCGTTGCATTGAGTCGCCAAATATTCGTCCCAGTCTCCCCGTTTACATTCTGCTTCGCGCCCACTGGCTTTCGTGGGGAAGGATTGAGGCCCTCTGGATCCTCCAGACCGTCGTCTCTCGTTGCCGTCCGTTTCCCTCGGTTCAGAGTGGTCGTGCGTGCAGCTTCTGGCTCCAAGCCGAGATCGCTCAATATCACTTGTACCTCGACAGGCAAATGCGGGGGTTGAGTGACAGGCTCAGACATGGACTCGCCTTTCAGCTTCAAGTCCCTTGCTGCTCGTTCCGGAATCGCATACCTCGCCTTCAGCACGAAGGCAGCAGAAGCTGCCTCGCCAGCTCATCGCCGTCTGGATCTCGGTGCGGTACGCAGGTTGCCTTGCGCTTGCTCTTCGGGTAGACCTGCGGGTTCAACGCCTGTACAGGTGTCCTCGTGCGTATCTTGTCTATCTCTGCAGCGCGGAGCTTGACCTCGGGCTCTGAGCCACTCGTAGGTCTGCTGCAATCTCTGGCGTTCGTCTTCCACTGTGGCGCGGGCTTTACTGTCTTCGCCAGCCGTCTGGGGACGTCCAAAACGCAGATTATTCCGCCTCATCGTCAGCGTCTGAGTCATACACATCTGACTACTCGGGGACTTAGCAGGGACGCTTCTTGCCTCTTCGATAAGGGCAAGGCCGCTCCGAGGGTTCTGCTCCAGCTTCGTCTGCGGCATCCGAAGCAGTATTGGCTTCCTAACCTTCCTCTGACACGGTGATGCGTTAGCAAGCTGCAATCAAACTCGGATCTCGGAGGGAACTAACCTGAGCGGGAAAACGAGAGGGGTATCTTTCTTCAGATCTAATCCTAATTTTCCGGCAGGATTGCTCATACAGCTCTCGCCTCCGTTCGATGCATTCTTCTGAAAGTCCTGGGAAGGCCCTTTCGATCTTTCCGAAGACAGTCGATGGATGCGTCGGTGTCCCGCAACCCGTCAGAAATCGCCTGTGCTTTGATGTAGTCGTGAGCTCTCATGAAGTCGGCCTCGAAGACGTCTTGCTGAGCTTCTTTGAATCTCCTGACGCGTTCATAGGCAGCTTGTTCGTCGCGGGGGTGGCTAAGCTCTTCGCGGAGAGAAGGATAGCTGAGCGCTGCGAAGCGCCTTCATCACGTAAATCAGGCGATACGCCCTCTCGTCCTCGCTAGCCCTTCGCATGTACTTCCACATTGTTCTGACGGCTGTGTTTGGATGTTCAGCCTGCCTGCGACGGAGTGGCGTAAGTATAACGGGGCGTCATCGATAAGATATGTCCTTGCGTGCCAAAATAAAATAAAATAAAACAGCTGTTCGCGGGTCAAGGCCCTGCTGAGGATATCAATACCTTTGTTCTTCGGCAGGGCCAAGCTGTGGCCAGATCGACGCGCGCTCAATGCTATAGCTCGCAACTTTGCACAAAGCTGTATAGATGGGCTGACCCGATTTGTATACGCTCCGAGTGGTATCTGCAATCTGCAGCATGCGTTTGGAAAAACGGACAAGTCGCTATTCTACAGAATAATGCAACAGAACTTCACAATATGCCGAATAGTCATAATCCTGATGTCATCAGTTTAGTTTCAGTTTCAGAATGCTACGAGCTTGGAGCGTACCTCAACTGGAGTGCTTCTTCTCAATCGTACCGTGCTCTCTTCAAGAGTCTTCGGAGTAAAATTCTCAGCTATCGGTTGAAGCGCGCTGTCCAGAGCTCACAGGCTTGGAGGACAGATGTTCCGCAAGCTGTTTCATGTCAATCTCTGCCAAGGGGCTCAGTCTCTCTGTATAGTGGATTGTGCGTTCAGGAAATTGTAGACTGTAGTCACAGGAAGGGCAGTAAGGCCTACCGTCAGTTCGCATTGGGCCATTTTGTGCAATCCCAGGCGTACACTCCGAAGAATCTGCAGAGAAAAGGTATCCCCTGGTCACTCGAGCCGGTTTCTGTGAAACCACGGGCCCATTTGGCGTAGTAAGCTCGAGTTTATGGACTTGGTCTACGGCGCAGGGTTGAAGAGTGTCGTGTACGTTGTACAACCCAAGGGCGTTGGCGGGGACTGGGAATTCGTCGACCGTGGGGCTCGGGAACATTTGGTTGAGATAGAGGATGATTTTGTGGGCTGAACTGACCGGCCACAGTGCAAGTTGGTATAAGTAAAAGTGAGATGCAAGTTAGGTCAGTCAAAGGGCGAAATGCCGAATATCGAAGAGCTGGTGGGGCGCAGCCGCAAGTCCAACAGCGCTGCGGACAGAGCAGTAACCCATCCATCGATGCGAAGGTTGATATCTGTGTTACGAATTCCAACATATGTAGGAGAACCTAGAAGGCTAGAGCGCGCAGGGCTTTTGCTAATGCAAGATAGCAGAGTGAGTAAGCGCGACTCGGAGATGTTCGGAGTCAGCTACCGTAGTGCTCCTAGGAGATGGGGGTCACCTGGATGTCATACCAAAGAAAGGAGACAACTTAGCGATTCCCGCAGGCAGGCACAATTAATTCCAATCTTTATGCAGAATATACCGGAAGTGCAACGAGAATACCATTCGCATCCGCAGGGCTAGTAATATGAGACCGGGAACGACATTAACGTTGCATTAACTTGATAGTCCCACCGTTCGTGCTGCGTGTATCGAGAGTTACAGCTCCGGAGCTCTTTGTAATAAAGTTGAAGCATTGGCGTTATTATCACAGAGATATTGGCGCAACAGTTGAACACGACGAGAGCACGGTTTGGGGAAGTGTTGGCAGACGCGTGGCGTGGGATGTTGCTGTCCTGTTGCGCTGGCGGGTCGATTCGGCTTTATTGATGGCCGATGCCTGCGACGAACCAGACCGCTTGCGATTACGGCGACCACTTTACTCTTGAGTCTTGCGGACCTCTCTCCTCCTCTCTTGGCGCTGCCAGCAGAAGGCTGTCGCAGACGTCTGGTCTCTATCTTTTTCTCAGATCTCTCATGTGCTAGAGATTCGACAACAAGCGCTTCAAAAATGGCCACCGGGAAAGACAGACACTACTGGACGCAGCTGCTGGCAACCTTGACGGCAGGCAACTGGAACGTCTCTCTCCCAGTCAAGGCACCAAACGGCACTCTGCTCCCTTGGTCCGAACTCTTGCGTAAATTCAACAAGCACTGCCATGGGTACTCTGACGTTGCAGAGCTGGCTTCGCAGACCCAGGCACTCGCGCTCGTCCTCGAGTCTAGCGCAGGAGAACACGGTGTGGAGTCGAATCAAACAGAGTTTCAAAATCGCTTTCCCAACGCATTGAACCTGGAAGATGAGTGTATCTTGCCACAGGGGCGCAGGGACGAAGCGTCAGCGGGATACACGTCTCTAAAGCGCCTTCAGGGTGCAGAGAAGGAGGTATGTCTACATTTGCAGATTATGTGCTCAGAGTCTGATTGTGCACTGCAGCCAGTGAAGCTGGCACTAGCGTACTATGTGTACGCGCTGGGGCGTCCTCAAGAGTGCCTCGCGTTATTATCTGAAGTACCGAGCCTCGAAGACGTTTCCGCCAGAGTTGCTGCATATGAGAACATGCGCGCAGACCCCTCGGCACCATCTGCATCCCTTCTCAATGCGGCAGGAACTTCCGCTTCTGCGTCGCGTTCCACAAGTCTAGTCTCAGTTTCGACTGTACCGCGTTCGGAAGCCGAGGAAGGACGTCTGTGGGGTTTGACAGAATGCATACGCAGCATAACACTCGAAGGTGTGAGATGACACTTTGATAGGAGATGAAATGCTCACTGGTTTCAGGCATGTCGCACGAGCGACTATCTCCGCAGGAACCGCAGAAAGCCCTCGCAGCATATATGCGAGCTATCCCGCTCATCAACGCAGTCCTTCCCGAAATTCAACGAATCGTAAATCCGGCCTCGCCTCAAGTGATCAACCCTTCCTCACCCTCCTTTGCAAGATTCAAAGAGTTGTGGAGGTGGACAGAGCGTGCTTTACGCAGGGCGATTATCCTTACCGCTCAATCAAGTGATCCGACGGCTGAGGACAATCACGTCGACTCTTTCTGGACCCTGCAGGGTATCTATAGGGGATGCAGCGCGCACTGGCCAGCGACGTTTCACCCTGAACTACGGTCTACTATCGCCACTGTTCACCTCCGCGCCTTCGTTCTACGCGCGCAGCTGCTACCGTCGGATGTGCTACGGGCAAAGGCACCCCGGTGGATCAGCACCGCTCGCTCTGTGCTGCAAGAGCTCCGCTCTCTGCTTAACGTGTGCACCAAATTCCCGCGTGCTGGGGAGCGCAACATCCGTGTCGAAGACTTAGTTGACCTCTGTGTCGCAGTTTGGGAAGCAGACGGTGCCGTTGGGGAGTACGCAGGGTGGGCCATCGATGTCAGTACCTCTCCAAATCTATATTGTAGAGAGCTGCCGAACGTTGAATACTATCGTCTCAGTTTCTGTGGTGGGCGACCAGGCTCACTTTCAACTCCTACCGCATCTATCGACACATGTCTCGGCTGCTCGCAGTATCGGGCGACCCTGAGCTGGCGAAGCGAACGTTACGGCTGTACATCCAAGTGGTCAGCAAGGCGCGCGAGGCGGGGTCGTCTCAGGGTGGAGCGACATTGGAGGCTGAGGGGACGATGGACTGGGACACCGACCACCAGTGGGTGCAGACGTTGGTCCAAGGTGCCAAGATGTTCTGCCGCCTTGCGATTCTAGAAACGGACCATGGCAAGGCGGTTGAGCTGGCGAAAGAAGCTGGCACGATGATCCAGAAAGCAAGAACGCGGCTGGATGAGGATGACAAGGAGATGGTGGCTAGTGCGCAGTTGGCAGAGGGCATTTGGTATTCCGTAATGGCCTATACAGGTGTGTATGCGAATGATACCTCTGTTGCAACTCTGCTGAGATCCCTTTCCAGAGCAAGATCCCCGTACCCGCAATTCGAAACTAACCCATTCTCTCGAACATTTTACCACAGCGGTCGGCACGTACGCCACCGCCTCAGCCCATCATCACCTTGCCCTAGCGCTGTCAAGGCCGGGTCCATCCAAAGACATGCTTGCCGCGATAGAACATGCCCGGGCGGCTGTTGAAGCGGACTCAAACGAGATTCGCCACTGGCATCTCCTGGGGCTCTTACTTGCTGCTACGGGCGATTGGAAGGCATCGAAGAGTGTGCTCGAGCTCGGCATCGGTATTGCAGAGGCGGAACTCACAGACGAGGAGTCAGTGCCCGAAGTGAACGGGTCCGCCAAAGGCATGAACATCCGGGACTTTGCGCACACTTTGCAGGATGCTACGGCAGAACGGACGAACGGGGTAAATGGCGACTCGGACAACGGATGCACCACCCCTGAGGCGCAGAGGGAGACCATCCTGCCACCAGGCGTTAAGGACATTCCGCCGTCATCGACTCTCCTCCTGCCAATGGGCGACAGGCCGATATCGAACCGCCAGGAGAAGTTTGAATATGCCTTGCAGGCGCGTATGACGCAGCTCGCGCTTACCGAGTTTGTCGAGGGTGCGGAGGCGGTGGGCGACAGATGGCTGGAGGTATTCCAATGGTTCCGCGACAAGCGACCGGCGACGCTAGACGACAGTAAGTTTTATAGTTACCGCATCTTTTCTCCCAGCTCAATGTTCTGTCCTAGGGAGACAGTCCATCGATAGTCGCAGAGTGTCACAGGACGCTCGGCTGTCTGATGTAGTCTCAACACGCACCCAGCAACCAATGGCTCCTTTAGCGGAACCTCAACCAGATCTTCCCCTTTCCATAAGCGACCCTTCAGGGGATATGGTCTCGCCTATTGGCATCACTATCACTCCAGCCACGCCTGCAGGCACCGCTGAAGAGGGCCAGCGCTCCAGCCTGCAGATTCACAACGACGTCAACGGCGAGAAACGGTCATCATCCTTCGACGAGAAGGACAGGGATATCTCTCGGGGCAAGAAGGTGCGCGAGGTGTTGAAGAGCGGCGTGCACAAAGGCCAGGCACGCATCACGACTATCTCGAAGAAGATTGGGCATGGTGTCGGAAGACATGGTAGCCTGAGCCTGAAGAGGACGAGCTCTGCACCGGGTCTGTTGCGCTCTTGTATCGATTTATGGACTCTAACAGAGCTCTTGCAGACTTCCACTCCGTCTTGAACCACAATCCGTATCAGGCATCATCGATACATCTGCGCCAATACCAAAGCATTCATGCGTCGCAGCAGGACCTGTCGCTCCTCGAAGTGCCACCTCCCCCACGCGCCTCGTCGCCAGACCCTGTCCCCAGGAACACGAACAGCCGAACCAGCCGCGATCTGCGTCTGCTGAGCGACCTGTGGCTCATGTCTGCTGCTATATTCCGGAGACTGGGGAAGATCGAGCAAGCAAAAGGCGCCATCCAAGAAGCTGAAGTCAGGGACGAAGATAACCCAGCAGTTTGGGTTCAGGTATAGCAACACTTTCGCTCACATTCATTTGAAGCCGGAATCTGATTCCTATCTCTTTAAGCTTGGTTTGTACCATGCCGCCCTGGGAGATGACTTTCGTGCCGCCGACGCTTTCCGCAAAGCACTGTTCATCCATCCCAACGACGTTTCCGCCACCATCTATCTCTGCCGGATATACTTATCGACTCCTCGTCACTCATTAGACGGCCATTGCGATGTGGACATGGAGAACGTCGATCTCGCGGCGGGTTTACTGTCCGATCTGACGCGCGGCGCGGGATGGGATGTCCCAGAGGCGTGGTACTTCCTCGCGCGTGCGTATAAACTCCAGGACCGGAGAGACCGTGAGCGTGAGTGCCTTAACTTCGCGCTGACGCTATCGCGGACGAGGGGCGTGCGGGATCCTACAGTTGCGGTGGGGTGGTGTTTGTAATCAGAGGATTATTTGGAAGAATATACAGTGCTCTTAATTTAATATACCTCGCAATGTACATACCATTTTCATGCTGTTCGGAATAATGGACTCTCATAACGTTATTGTTTAATAGCTGGGTATTTATTCGATGGGGCGCCTTAGAGCTGCCATTTGCGATCTGTTATAGACAGAGAGCGATTGCGTCGGATGTATACGGTGCGCAACACAAGGACAAAAATCGCTCCAACAAGGAGGAATCCAGCATTCGTGAAATGTCCCGTTGGATAGCCAGGCGCCTCGGAGCTTTTGTAGATGTAAATACCTAGGTACCAATCAGCTTCCTGAAAGCCAAATATTATCTGCGACCCCGACGTACCAACAATTTGACCTACCTGACCAATAGCTACGTTCATTGGTACGGCAAGCGTGGCTGCACTGGTGCTTCGGACGTTCGCGGTGAGCCAGCTGAGAAGAGGTGGCTCCATAGCAAACGAAAAAGGGACAGCTACGCATAGCAGCCCGTACCGGGCCTTGAAGGAGTCCGAAGGCAGCAAACCTATTCATGCGATGATTTTCGTTACTGTACTAATCAGAGGGCATCTTGTCTCACCTTGAACCAGGAAGCATATACCCGAGATAATCAGGCATGCAAAGGCGGCCCAGCAGCGCAAGCCTCGTTTGTCCGCTTGCCAAGCAATGAAGAGAGTGATGACAAATGCGATGGCGTATGGGGGGACAGTGAAGAGCTGGGCCGTCAGACCCTCGTATCCCAGCCCAGACACGATAGTCGGAGTGAAGAGCGTGATGCTCGAGAACGCCACGGAGTACGAGATGCTCACTGCGTGGTGAAGGTAGAGTCGCCAGTCTACCAAGGTCGCCTTCGCTCCGGCCCATGTCAACTTTTCGTGGCCCAGCGATGCAACCCCTTTGATTCGGTCCGTAGCGAGAGCGCGTTCCTCTGCTGAAAGCCACCTGCTGGTCTCGGGGAAGTCGGGGTAGAAGAAATAAACCAGAACAGCACACAGGCAAGATGGTATCCCTTCTAAAATGAAGAGCCAGCGCCACCCTTGTAACCCCCGTACCCCGTCCATGTGGCCTACGCCAAACGCAATTGCTCCGCCAAAAGCACCCGCTGGAATAGTCGAAAATCAGAGATATTTCTCCACATTCGGAAATCTTACCTAACGTCGCGCAGCCCACAATGAACGCGATTCTGAGAGCTCGTTCATCTTGCTTATACCAGAACGTTAAGCAGTATACGATTCCGGGAAAGAGCCCCGCCTCGAAAGCTCCGAGAAGAAGACGGACGGTAACGAGCGCCGCAAAGTTCTTCACTGCTCCCATCACCATCGTCATTAATCCCCACCCTACCATTAAAAATGCAATCCTGAATGCAGACGCTTAATGTCAAATAATTTATGCAAGAATAATGGACATACCAACGACTGGGGCGAAATCTGTGCAGCATGTAGTTCGAAGGAACTTCGAAAAGTGCATAGGCAATGATGAAGATGAGAAGAGCATCTAAGTATTGCTTATTTGAGATCCGAGTTGTCTGCACCAGGGAATCGCCCGTAGTGCTGTTGAGTATTCTGGCATTTCCCTGCACCACATTACCCAAGGTTATTGCGACCAAATACGCTTGACTCACGATATTCGAGCGGTCTAAGAAGCAGAGCAGATAGATGAACATCGACGCGGGCAACAGCCGCATGTCTATGCGCCGCACGACCCTGGGAGATAACTTAGCACAGTCCACTGGCAGCGGGATCGCGCATGCACCATACCTCGACTCGGCCTTTCGATCGAAACTGGGAGTTTTCGCGTCTTCAATGAACTCCTGGGCAGTCAAACATTTCTCAGCATCTAATGCAGAAGACTCGTCTTGCATAATTTCCTACGGATCACCAATTCAATAAATGCTGAGAGTAGTATCATATGAATAAACCCGACCTTGTCCATGGTAGAAATGCCAGTGCGTCGACCTGATTGAACCCGCAGCTCAGGTGGCTTATAGCACTCATATCGCACATGAAATTTGACTTTGAGCTGTCCCACTGACCGTGTAAGCGAATCCTCGTGACCGGAGACGGTGAGAGCCTTGAAGCCCATTTGTGGCCAGAATCCAGGGGCAGTGGCTTCCTTTCGTTCCACAGCTTGAACTCGTGTGCACACCTTCCCAGCCATACGGGGTGCAATCACTGATGGAGAGGTCTAGCGACTCCGTATTCGCCACATGCATTTCGTCACTGGGAGGTTGTCCAGCTGCTTCCGACACCATGCCCAATCTTCTTCGAGATGGTTGTGATGCGCGCCTGACCCTTTTGCATGTCACCACCACGCGCACCTTCTTGCCCCGAGAGATGTCCCTGTCCTTTTCGTCAAGAGACGATGACCGTTTCTCGTCGATGGCGCCGTTGTGGATCTAAACACCTGAAGGCTGGGGCGCGCCAGTGGCCATCTGCAATGCTGCACCTTGTAATCAGGCAGTCTGCGCAATTAAATCGCGGATCCGGATAGTTCTGTCTTTAGCGGACCCGTAAGTTCCACCTCTGCAATGCCGATGCCGAGCTCGAGCACACTCTTCGATACCTTTCAACACTCCGCCGTGGCGGCGAGTAGGAGCCCCGGGAGATGCCAGTGGCAAAGGACTTGTTTGAGCCCCCAGGAGTACGAATAGCCGAACCGGCTACATATCGCTCTGTGGTTGTCTGCTGCCATATTCTGGAGGCCAGGGAAGATCGAGCAAGCAAAAGCTACGCCATCCATGAAGTCAGGCTGAAGTCAAGGACGGAGACAATTCGGCAGTTTGGGTTCAGGAGGCTGGCGTCCGATATCTATCTCAGCTTGGTTTATACCGTGCCGCCCTGGGAAATGACTACCGCGCTGCCGACGCTTTCCGAAAATCACTGTTCATCCATCCCAACGACGTTCCCGCTACTATCTACCTCTGCCGGATATACCTCGTCACTCATCAGACGGCCAAGGTGATGTGGACATGGAGAACGTCGACCTCGCAGCGGGTTTGCGTCCGATCTCACTCGCGAGGGTGTGATACTTCCTCACGCGTGCGTACAAGCTCCAGGGGCAGAGAGACCGTGATCGCGAGTGCCTTACCTTCGCGCTAACGCTGTTACAGATGACTGACAGACAGACAATTATTACTATTCGAGAGACATGCGGGATTCTACGGTTGCAGTGGGGCCGGGTGATGCTTGTGGTTGGAAAGTCACCCGAAAAAACCCTCTAATTTAATATACCTCGCAATGTACATACCATTTTCATGCTGTCGGGAACAATGGAGACCAGTGATCTTGTTGTGCAACGGCTAGGTGTTTATTCTGTTTGGTGCCTTAGAGCTGCCACTTGTAATCTGTTACAGATAGAGAGCGATTGCGTCGGATGTATATGGCGCGCAATATAAGGACAACAATAGCTCCAACAAGAAGGAACCCAGCATTCGTGAAATGTCCCGTTGGATAGCCAGGCGCCTCGGAGTTTTTGTAAATGTAGATACCTAGCACCAGTCAGCCTTCTTATAGAAGTCAAATTTTGTCTCCGGCTCTGACGTACCAACAATTTGACCTATTTGCCCACTAGCTAAGTTCATCGGTACGGCAAGCGTGGCTGCGCTAGTGCCTCGAACGTTTGCGGTGAGCCAGCTGAGAAGGGATGGCTCCATAGCAAACGAAAAAGGGACGGCTACGCATAGCAGCCCATACCGGGCCTTGAAGGCGTCCGAAGGCAGTAGACCTGCTCATGTAGTGATCTTCGTAAATGAGTTGATCAAAGGACATCTGATCTCACCTTGGACCAGGAAGCATATACCCGAGATAATAAAGCATGCAAAGGCGGCCCAGCAGCGCAAGCCTCGTTTGTCCGCTTGCCAAGCAATGAAGAGAGTGATGATGAACGCAATAGCGTATGGGGGGACAGTGAAGAGCTGGGCCGTCAGACCCTCGTATCCGAGGCCAGACACGATGGTCGGAGAAAAGAGTGTGATGCTCGACAATGCCACGGAGTACGAGATGCTCGCTGCGTAGTGTAGATAGAGTCGCCAGTCCACCAAGGTCGCCTTCGCTTCGGCCCATGTTACTTTTTCATGGCCCAGCGACGCAACGCCTTCGATCCGAGTCCGGTTTGAAGCGAGAGCGCGCTCCTCTGCCGAAAGCCACCTGCTAGTCTCGGGGAGGTCGGGGTAGAAGAAGTAGACCAAAACTGCGCATATACAGGAAGGAATCCCTTCCAGAATGAAGAGCCAGCGCCACCCTTGTAGCCCCCGTATCCCGTCCATGTGACCGACGCCGAGCGCAATTGCTCCACCAAAAGCACCAGCTAAATTAGTTAAAAATCAGAGACATTTCTTCATGCTCAGAAACCTTACCTAAGGTCGGACAGCCTATAATAAACGCAATTCTGAGAGCTCGCTCATCTTGCTTATACCAGAACATCAGACAGTATACGATTCCGGGAACGAGTCCCGCCTCGAAAGCTCCGAGAAGGATACGGACGATTACGAGCGCTGCAAAGTCCTTCACTGCTCCTATCACCATCGTCATCAATCCCCATCCCATTATGAGAAATGCAATCCTTAGCGCAAGCATTAACAGTTGACTAGTTTGAGCAAGAATAATGGACATACCAGCGACTGGGGCGAAACCTGTGCAGCATGTAGTTCGAGGGAACTTCGAAAAGTGCAAAGGCAATGAGAAAGACGAGAAGGGCATCTAGGTATTGCTGGTTTGAGATCCGAGTCGTCTGCACCAGGGAATCACCTGTCGTGCTGTTGAGGATTCTGGCATTCCCCTGCACCACTTTCAAGTTAGCCAAGGTTATTGCGACCGGATACGCTTGACTCACGATATTCGAGCGGTCTAAGAAGGAGAGCAGATAGATGAACATCGATGCGGGCAACAATCGCATGTCTATGCGCCGTACGACCCTGGGAGATGGCTTAGTACAGTCTAGCAGAGTCGCGTACGCGCCATACCTCGACTCAGCTTTCGGATTGAAGTTGGGAGTTCTCGCGTCTTCAACGGACTCTGAGTCCTTGGCGGTCGAGCATTTTTCAGCATCTAATTCAGAAGACTTGTCGTGCACAGTATCCTATGGATAACCAACTCGATTTCAGCAAATGTTGAAGATGATAAATGAATGAATCCGACCTTGCCCATGGTGAAGTTGCCAGTGCGTCGGACTGGCCGAACTTGCAGCTCAGGTGGCTTATAGCACTCATATCGCACATAACATTTGAGTTTGAGCCGCCCCACTGACCATGTAAGCGAATCCTCGTGACCGGAGACAGTGAGAGCTTGAAGCCCACTTGTGGCCAGAAATCAGGGGAAGCAGCTTCCTTTCGTTCCACAGCTCGAGCCCATGTGCACACCTTCCCAGCCGTACGGGACGGACGGGTCCAGTGACTCCGTTGTTACAATGTGCAGTCTTGCAATTTCGTCATCGTGAGAATATACAACCTATGTGCCCGACGTTTAGACCAACAGGTATTACTGTGCCCTTGTAGGCGTGACTGAGTGCATGACAAGCGTCGGACAATGATAGCTCGTTACTTCAAAGCTGCCATTTGCGATCTGCTACGGATAGAGTATCCAGTGGCTTCGGCGCTCTTGTAGATGTATATACCTAGGCATCGATTAATTTCTGAGGGGTGAAGCCTAGTCTCCGACCCTGACGCACCAACAATCTGGCCCGTCTGACCAATAGATATGCTCATCGGCACGGCAAGCATGGCCACACCAGTGCTCCGAAGGTTCACAGTAAGCCAGCTAAGAAGGAGGGGCTGGAGGGCAAATGAAAAGGGGACTGCGACGCATAGCAGACCGTACCGGGCCTTGAAGGCGTGTGAAGGCAATAAACCTATACAAACTATGAGTGTAATGACCACGCTGACGAAGAGCTCTCAAAGCTTACCTTGGACCAGAAAGCACATACCTGCGATAGTGAAACATGCGAAGGCAGCCCTCGAGCGTATGCCCCGTTTATCCGCCTGCCATGCGACTAACAAACGCAATGGCATACGGAGGGACAGTGAAGAGCTGAGCTGCTAGACCTTCGTATCCGAGACCCGACATGATAGTCGGGGTGAAGAGCGAGATGCTCGAGAACGGCACAGGACGAGACCAACAGTGCGTGGTGCAGATAGAGCCGCCAGTTCAACAGGGTCGTTTTCGCTTCGGCCCACGTTAAGTGCTCATAGCCCAATGACGCGACACCTTTAACTCGCTCTGTGGCTACCATGCGTTCTTCTGCTGACAGCCACTGGCTAACCTCGGAGAAGTCGGGGTAGAAAAAATAGACCAGAATCCTGCACAGACAAGAAGGGGGTCCTTCGAGGATGAAGAGCCAGCGCCACCCTTGCAAGTTGCGGATACCGTCCATATGGCCAACACCAAAGGCAATGGTTCCACCAAATGCACCCGCTGAGGTCTGGTATGTCAGAAACGTGCCACATGTGGTCAAGGACCTTACCTAATGTCGCACAACCTGTAATAAACGCCACTCTGAGAGCTCGTTCGTCTTGCCGGTACCAAACCGTTATGCAGTATATGATCCCGGGAAGAAGCCCTGCTTCAAAAGCTCCGAGAAGGAAACGCACGACGACAAGCTCGGCAAAGTTCTCCACGGCGCCCAGGGCCATTGTCATAAGCCCCCATCCCATCATCAGGCATGCGATCCTGCCAATACTTAGCGGGAATCCTCGTCGCAAATTGAAAGACGTACCAGCGGCTTGGGCGAAATCTGTGCAGCAAGTAGTTCGAAGGAACTTCGAACAGCAAGTAAGCGATAATCAAAATGAGGAGGACGACGAGAAATTGCTGGTTTGAGATCCGAGTCGTTTGTGCAAGAGAATCGCCTCTTGTGTTGTTGAGAATTCTTGCATTTCTCTGCGAGAGTTAGGCCAAAGTCGTTGCTATGAGCTGTGTCTAGCTCACAATATTTGAACGGTCTAAGAAACAGAGCAGGGAGATAAACATTGATGCGGGCAAAAGCCTGATGTCAATGCGCCGCACGACCCTGGAAGATGATTTAGCACAGTTCGGCGGGAATCACGGCCGCGCTGGCGCACCTCGACTCGGTTTTCGGATCGACGCTGTAAGCTGTCGCATCCTCGACCGAATCCTGCGTGTTCGAACAATTTCGACGTCTAACGCAGGGGATTCATCACGCATACCGTCCTACGAATCAGGAAATTCAGCAGTTGGCGAGGATGGAATATGAGTGAACTCGACCTTTTCCATGGTGGCAGATACCAGTGAGCTGAGCCGGTTGTACCCTCAACTTCAGCTATCTTATAGGCCGGCGACATCGTACATGGAGTTTGAGTTTGAAATATCCTGCTGACTGTGTAAGCGAGGCCTTGTGATTAGACGGTGAGCGTCTCGGTGCCTATCTGTAGTTGAATCGAGAGGTAGAGGCTTTCTGTCCTTCTAAACTGAAGCTATACGTACATCTGTCAAGCCGTGGGAGGTGCAGTCGCTGGTGCAGAAGGCTGATAGCCCTGCTTTGCATGAGGTGCAATCGTATCTATCGTAATCGTGAAGTCGTCTGGAGCATAACTACAATTTCCATTTCTGTTCACCGGGAAGTAGCCTCCTATTCCACCCGGTATATATCCAGCGCAGCAGTAGCACCACCAGCGCACCTTCAATGAGGAATGCGGCATTTGTGAAGTGCCCGGTCGGGTACCCAGGCGCCTCTGAACTCTTGAAAATATAAACACCTATGCGACAGTGAGCATCATCCGTGCGAAAGCACCTCAGCGTGAGTCCTGAGACATACCGACAATCTGACCTATCTGGCCAATTGAGACATTGAGTGGCACAGCAAGAGTCGATGCTCCAGTGCTTCGCAAGTTAGCAGTGAGCCAGCTGAGGAGCGGTGGGATGCCAGAGAAAGAGAAGGCCACCGCGACACAAAGTAAGCCATATCGTGCCTTGAAGGCGTGCGATGGCAGAGCACCTGAGAAGCTGTCAGTAAGGCGGCTGCGTCAACACGGGACTTGTGCCAACCTTGCACAAGGAAGCTGATGCCTGCAATAGCCAAAGAAAAGAAAGCACCCCATGATCGCATGTTGTGTTTGTCTGATTGCCACGAGACGAGCACAGTCAAGACAAATGCGATAGCGTATGGCGGTACAGTGAACAGCTGGGCGTTCAGGCCTTCGTAGCCCAGGCCGGATACGATGGTAGGCGAGAACAGGGAAATGCTCGAGAATGGTACTGAGATCGAGATGTAGACGAGATAGTGCAGATAGAGTCTCCAGTCCATAAGTGTTAATTTGGCTTCCTTCCATGTTATCTTCGCATGTCCGAGGGAGGAGACGCCCTTAATCCGTTCAATGGCCAAATTACGTTCCTCGTCGGATAGCCAGCTCACCGTCTCTGGGAAGTCGGGGTACAGGAAGAAGACGAGGATGGCGCACGCGCAAGATGGAGCACCTTCGATTATGAAAAGCCAGCGCCATCCTTCCAAACCACGAATATCATTCATGTGGCCGACGCCGTACGCTATCGCACCTCCGAAAGCACCGCCTGAGATATGTGAGCGAAGTTTCTAAGATCAGATACGGGGGCATACCGAGGGTCGCGCAGGCAAGAATCAGAGCAGCCCGGAGAGCACGCTCGTCCTGCTTGTACCAGAATGTCAGACAATAGATCATGCCTGGGAAAAGGCCGGCTTCGAACGCTCCAAGGAGGAAACGAATCACGACAAGCGCAGCGAAGTTGTGAGCCGCGCCGAGGACCATGGTCATAAGTCCCCAACCCATCATGAGGAAGGCAATCCTACAAGATGAAAGTGAGTATGAGACCTCGAAAAAGACGTACTCTCGACACAACTTACCATCGGCTTGGACGAAATTTCTTCAGCATGTAATTGGACGGCGTCTCGAACAAGGTATAGGCAACAATGAATATCATGAGTGCCACCAGATACTGTTGGTCGGATATATGAGTTGATTGAACGAGCGAGTTTCCCGTGGCGGCGTTCAACAGTTTCGCATTACCCTGGAGATATCATTGTATGCACGCCTCTGGGCTGATGATCTTGAGACTTACAATGTTCGAACGATCCAGGAAGCACAGCAAATAGATGAACATAGAAGTTGGAACAAGACGGAGATCAATGCGCCTCACGAGCCTAGTGGTTGTGTCAGTGAACTGGATGTCTGAGAAACTTCCCGACGCACCGTGCCTCCGTGGCAGCATCAACACCAGCAACCTGATTGTCTCGCAAATCTTCATCTCCAGGGCTGTACTTCTCAACATCAAGGCCGCTAGAGACGCTCATTGCACTCTGCAAAATACGGATGACGCTGTTAGACATCTATTTTGAAAAGTGGCTCAGCTTTCTGTTGACTCACCTAGTCAGCTCCGTTCTGCCAAATCGCGGGGGTGCCGCTTGACTGCAGTCGGGGGCGATATTTGGAATTATATAGGAAAGGCACACAGTCACCAAGGCTTCCCTGCTTATCGTAGCGAAGCATGTCTGTACAGCCCTTGTGACCACCGGCTGATGCATGGAAAATAGATGGCGGACCGCGTCGTCGTGGGCGCGTAGCAGACTTTCCTAAGTTATAATCATGTCTGAGTTTAGTTTCGATACTTTCACTGTCGAACGTTCGAACATTGAAGGGCGCGGTAGCACTGGGATTGATTTCCTTTGTTGTGGTGGAGGAGCACAAGTTGGCGCACCCATGTCCCCGACGCGCAAGGCTTCGGCGTCTATTTATGCGCTTCGATCGTCCTGCACCTAACCTCGTAACAGGGTTAATCTTGGACTAAAGAAGCAGAGCTGAACCCCGCCAAATTTACGGTCCCGCGCCGGATGACATAAGCATCGGCGGGCGTTCCAAAGGCGGAAGCGAGCCGAGGAAAGGCGTGGGGACGATGTTGAGAAAGCCTTGAGTGCCAGGGGCTCACAAAAATTTGTAGGCACACAAATAGAGGTGTTTTTAATGTGTGACAATATTCTTGTAATTTATTTTGTGCCGGGAGGTACATTGTGACACGACCTACACTAAAGATATCTACACTGAGGAGGGGAAGGCACGCGGTGCCCAAGGCATTAGCTAAAAAATTAGATTTTTAAGACATACAGGTTCTATGCTGGTTCAGTCCACTGTGCCGTCAGGTCCGGGGGGCCAGAGGCATGTCAAGGAGACGTCGAGCGAGGCAGAGGCACCAGACGAGGCGGGAGGGCGGGCAAGCGCTTGGGACCGTAATTTCTCACGTTGGGACCGTAAATCTCGAGGGCAGAAGGGAACTGCGCTGCACGCTTTTCTGGCAGGGACGCCAGCCAAATTTCTCGCACCTGATGTGCCACCTGGCAAATTTACGGTCCCAAATTACGGTCCCATAGGCGTCGGAACAAACGGTGATGCGCCCTTGATGACGGGAAGGCGCTTAAGCGGCGTAGCCGGCAGACGCACCGGTGCCTCATTTGGACGGGCGCCCGCGACCGTAAACCTCCCCCTTTGGGGACCGTATAGGCGCCCCCTGGGACCGTAAATCTCGAGCACGAAGCGCTTAGAAAGCCGCCCAGATCTCGGGGCTTCAAGAAAAAATCATGCAATTATATTGTAATCGCGAAGTTGTCAAGAGCACTGCTATAGTAGCCACTTCCGTTCACCAGGAAGCAGTCTTCTATTCCGCCCGACATATATCCAGCGCAACAGTAGCACCACCAGCGCGCCTGCGAGAAGGAACGCGGCATTCGTATAGTGCCCGGTCGGATAACCAGGCGCTTCTGAACTCTTGTAGATATAAACACCTGCGCGACAGTGAGCATCACCCATGGAAAATGCCGCCGGTGCAGGTTCTGAGACGCACCAATAATCTGGCCTATCTGGCCAAATGAGACGGTAAGCGGCACCGAAAGAGTCGAGGCTCCAGTGCTTCGGAGATTGGCCATGAGCCAGCTGAGGAGCGGCGCGACGCTGGAGAAAGAGAAGGCCACCGCAACACACAGCAAGCCATATCGTGCCTTGAAGGCGTGCGATGGCAAAGCACCTGAAGATTTATCAGCTAGACGAATGCGCCAACGCGGAATTTATGTCGACCTTGTACAAGAAAGCTGACGCCTGCAATAACCATACAAAAGAAAGCACCCCATGATCGCATGTTGTGCTTATCTGACTGCCACGAGATGAACACGGTCGTGACAAACGCGATAGCGTATGGCGGTACAGTGAACAGCTGGGCGTTCAGGCCTTCGTAGCCCAGGCCGGATACGATGGTAGGCGAGAACAGGGAAATGCTCGAGAATGGTACTGAGATCGAGATATAGGCGAGATAGTGTAGATAGAGTCGCCAGTCTATGAGAGTGTACTTTGCTTCTTTCCAGGTTATCTTCGCGTGTCCGAGGGAGGAGACGCCCTTAATCCGTTCAATGGCCAAATTGCGCTCCTCGTCGGATAGCCAGCTCACCGTCTCCGGGAAGTCGGGGTACAGGAAGAAGACGAGGACGGCGCACGCGCAAGATGGAGCACCTTCGATTATGAAAAGCCAGCGCCATCCTTCCAAACCGCGGACACCATTTAAGTGACCAATGCCGTACGCTATTGCACCCCCGAAAGCACCGCCTAGACCACATTTTAGCAAAACCTCTGTGATGAGCAATAGGGCATACCGAGAGTAGCACTGGCAGAAACTAGAGCAGCCCGGAGAGCACGCTCGTCCTGCTTGTACCAGAACGTCAGGCAGTAGATCATGCCTGGGAAAAGGCCAGCTTCGAATGTTCCGAGAAGAAAACGAACCACGACAAGTGCAGCAAAGTTGCGAACTGCGCCGAGGATCATAGTCATAAGTCCCCATCCTATCATAAGGAAGGCGATCCTACACCATAGAGATAAGCTAATAAATCGCAGTTAAAACATCTTACTCTTAACAATGCTTACCATCGACTTGGGCGGAATTTCTTCAGCATGTAGTTTGATGGCGTCTCAAATAATGTATAGGCGACAATGAATATCATGAGGGCCACCAGATACTGTTGGTCGGACATGTGAATTGATTGAACGAGCGAGTTTCCCGTGGAGGCGTTCAATAGCTTCGCATTGCCCTGAAGACATCCCTAAGTGTGCGCCTCCTAACCTGTGGCGATGAGACTCACGATGTTTGAACGGTCCAAGAAGCACAACACATAGATGAGCATAGAAGCCGGAACGAAACGAAGGTCTATACGTCTCACGAGCCTGGTTGCTGCGTAAGCGAAGTGAATGCTCAAATCACCTCGTAACGCACCGTGTCTCTATGGCCCCATCGACGGAAGCGATCTCATTGTCTCGCGCATCCCTCTCCTCAGGGCTGTACTTCTCAGCATCAAGATCATTCTTCTCGCTGAAGTCGCTCATTGTACCCTGCGAGATACAGGCGGCCTGGTCAATGTCTGTCTGAGAAGTTGTTCAGCCTTCTCTCGACTCACCTGCTCTGCCCTACTGGCTGTTGAGGGGTGCCACTTGGCTGTAATCGGAGGCGATATCCGGTGTTATATAGGCGAAGTACATTGCCACCGAGGCTTCCTTTCGATGAGCCGTGCATACACTGCGACGCCCTCGTGATCTTAATTAACGTTCAGAAAACAGACGGAGCGCTTCATTGTGTGTGCAGGAAAGTGATACAGCCGGTATCTGAGACACGAGACAAATTAAGATATCTTTTCGGCTAAAAGAGGCGTGAACAGAGCCTAATCGCTGCCGTCTCACCTGAAGATGTGAGACTCGTGCGAGTTTGCAACGTCAAACACGAAGTTTACACGCAATCCGGCTGTCCCCGGAAGGACAGAGGATCCCTGATAATTGGGCCACAGCCCTATCCGGAATCCGGACGTTTTTGGCCAGATTCTGGACCCTATGCCAGATTTTGTCCGAACGTTTCGACCCCAACCCTCGCCGAAGCCGGGTGAGTGGTCCGGACGTCGAACCTTCGACGAAGGCGGGCCTGATTTTTGTCCGGTGGGGGCAGGCGCCTAGCCGACCGACCACATGATGTCGCCCTATGTCGGCCCGCCCGAGACTAAAAAAGGAAGCGCTGAGATAAGATCGACTAACAGCGTAGGTGTTTCAACATTGCTTGTCTTACTTTGATCAGAGATGTAAACTTGTGGAATAAGGGAGATTAAAAAGTTTGAAGCTGCATTTTGTTACAACTAATAGCTGGCTTATTGTGCAAATGAAACTTGTGTCAGTTGGCATTGCTGCCCTTGCACTCAGCACGACTGATGCTATCCAAGCCATTGACTGGTCTGCAGTGACTGGAAAGGAAGAAAATATCCTGCTGATGATGCGCCACCAATTATCCTTGCCGCCAGGCAAGCTGCTCTTGCCATACCCGCTGTCTATGCACACCTTGTCCCTGACCCCCTCCTCCCTGTAGCAGCCCTGCTCGAAGGCAATTTCCCATCTACAGTCCCCTTCAGTAGTTGCACCAATATATTACTGCCTGTATCATTATCATAGTATCCAAAACAGTCTTTCGCTAGGTACGAAGGAGAAAATGCAGGTTTGAAAACCTGCTACTTGAGCTCTATTGCACTCGTCTGCTTCATAGCTGGGGCATTCCTCCCATATCCTCTATTATCTTTGGATAACAGAATACTTCAGGACACAAATAATTCACAACCAAAAAATTATAATTCAGACTACAGAGAGTACTAGACGAGAAGTTTGATTTACTGTGCCAACTGGTGCTAGTACACTGTATATATGGCCTTTTCACTAAGAAACATTTCCAAAAATAGTGCTCCTTCTTTTGGTATGATATTATTTCCGCTGATAGTTTCTTGCATCTTTTCCACCGAAAGGGTCGGGCTATTCTTGGAAAATACTGTTAAGCTCTTTCACGCCTCTTTTAGCCGAAAAGACATCTTGATTTGTCTCGTGAGAGTAGCATTTATTGCTGGGGGAGCAGATGACTACAGTAGTGACAATGCAGTGGAACTTTTATTTTGCGGTCGCTGTGATGCGCCAACAATTCCTTTGATGTTCATCAATACGATCTTGCACCTAACCTCGCAACGGGGTTCCATCTAAGGCAATGCGCACTTCGAGAAATAATTCACAGAATCGTACTACACTCTCAATTATCCCCTCGCTACCTAGTCTCGGCCAGCCGTCGACAGCTCGAGAGCAGCGCCAGGCAGCGTCCAGACGTGCGCAAAAAACGGTGAAAAGCTGCTTCAACTCGTCATGTCCGCCCAAGACTCGAAGATGTGGTCTGTCCACTACGACATTGTCATCGTTGGTGCTGGCGTTGCGGGTTCTGCGCTTGCACATGCCCTCTCGACCCTTCCCCGCGAGAAGGGTCCCCTACGGATATGCCTTCTCGAACGCTCGCTCGCAGAACCGGATCGCATCGTTGGCGAGCTGTTGCAGCCTGGAGGGATCGCCGCGCTGGAAAAGCTTGGGCTCGCCGACTGCGTGGAGGGAATAGACGCGATACCTGTACACGGCTACTGCGTTGTACTTGACGGTAAGCCTGTACACATTCCCTATCCCAATGGAAGGACCGGCCGCAGCTTCCACCACGGACGCTTCATCCAGGCGTTGCGCAAGAAGGCGAAAGCGGCACGCGGCGTCGAGGTCGTGGAGGCAACCGTGTCCGAGCTCGTCGGGTGCCCTATCACGGGTCGCGTGCTCGGCGTGCGTGCTACACGTAAAGAGGATGGTGCGGTCGAGAAGGAGGCTTTCCTAGCAGACCTCACCATTATCGCGGATGGCTGCTTCTCCAACTTCCGGTCGTCCGTCGTGGGCACCGCCGCTCGCAAGCCCGAGTTAAAGAGTCACTTCGTCGGAGCTGTTCTCGAAAATGCGCAGCTTCCCATCGAGAGGCATGGGACGGTTGTGCTTGTCAAAGGCTCAGGCCCTGTCCTCCTCTACCAAATCGGTACTCACGACACGCGCATCCTCGTTGACGTCAAAGCACCGCTCCCGAGCGACCTGAAGAGCCACATTCTCGACAATATTATCCCTCAACTTCCCTCTGCGCTACATATACCCGCACAGAAGGCCCTCAAGGCAGATCGCCTGAGGCGTATGCCAAACTCGTTTTTACCGTCGACAGAGCAGGGCGGGCGGCATTCGAAGGAGGGGGTCCTGCTTCTCGGTGACTCATGGAACATGCGGCATCCTCTCACGGGAGGCGGCATGATGTGCGCATTCAACGACGTTGTTATCCTTCGCGAGTATTTGTCGCAGGTTGACGACTTTTCAAGCTGGAAGGAGATGTCGAGCCTCTTGCACCGCTGGCATTGGCGCAGAAAGGCCCTTGCGTCAACGGTGAACATCCTTAGTGTCGCACTCTATGATCTGTTTGGAGCAGACGGTGCGCCTGATTCATTAATATCTTCTTACCGACGCTTATTATGTCATTTAGACGAATCGCTGGAAGTCCTCCGGATAGGCTGTTTCAAATACTTCGAACGCGGCGGTGACTGCGTCAACGGCCCGGTTTCACTTCTTTCGGGGTACGTTCGTCTGCGCAGTCTGCGCTTCTTGTCCTTGATTAACGTGGTATGCAGCATTATCGCGTCGCCTGCGGTCCTCTTTTGGCACTTCTTCTCGGTCGCATTCTATTCCATTTGGGTGATGTTTACACATCCGCATACAGTAACAAGCGCGGACGGCAAGCCGATACAGATCGTGCCCAGTATTGATGCGTACCCATACCTGTTCATTAAAAGCATTCAAGTGGTACGTACGCTTGTGTGCCAGGCATAGTATGGGTGCTGACGCGCGTGCTGGCAGTTCTGGACGGCCTGTATCGTCTTCGTCCCGCTTATGTGGACCGAAGTCCGCTGGTGGTGAACGCGCCCCGCTATCCTCGACTTGGGCGATCTACACGCGTACGTCTTGCATATACATCTTACATTCTTTACCCTCCCATATATCGCCTTAGGACTGGTGGCATTGCGTCAGGGCTGCTGTTGTTTGGGTATGAACGCTGTCATATTTATGTATATCTAGTCTACGAGTAGAGCATGCGTACGCATATACGACGTGCGCAGGACGGCTGTAGTTATACCCATACGTAATGGAGGAATAATTAGAAGCATTCTAGTTCATGCGACGAATGTGTGCAAGCCGAGAACTGGAGAGCCATGGCAAGATGCCATATGCCAGCTTTCCAAGATAATCAAACAGCCCAGGCGTCAGAGCCCGAAGGCACGCCCAGCCAATCGAAGGTTGGCTGTGAGTGGCGCGTTCTTCTCGTTTCTCAATTTATCTCTCTCCTCAATCCTCTCTGCTCATGCGTAGCACGGGCCTCCCTCTCGCGCGGTATTATAAGGCGCCAATAGCAGCCACTGCGACCTCAGTTTTGCCCAGCATTTCACTCGAAATTTTCACGCCATACCTGGGCGTTCCGATTAATAATATGATATACTGGCGCATTCAGATCCGTCAAACTATGGCTCTGAGGTCATGGTCATGAGAACAGAGTAATCTGCCATTGAGCTCCGCCACTGCTACGATGACCCGGCGAATGGTCTAGCTGATAGGACAGCCGCAATGGCCATCAGGGCCGACGTGCCTCTTGCAGCGGGGACAGATGTTGTGCGGGTTCGACATCTGTAATGATGGTCAAGACAACAGAAAGACGGAAGGTGGGTGGGGCGACGTACGGAGTCGACAGGGTACACGACGGCGAGGGGCGCAGAGGTGGTCAGCTCGACGGAGAACATGTTACGAGTGGTTGGTGGTGTCTGCGGAGACAGCTCAGTAAGCGACGTATGACGATCCCGGAGACGGATGCGTTCACCTGGCTGAGGAACGTTGAAGAGTGGAGACTGGTTAAGCTGCTGAGGGCTTTGTTCGTGGTTTTGTCCTCCCAGCTCATCATCTCCACCCTTTATACCTATGGCTCGCCCAACTATCCCGGATATCCCTCGCACCAATATCACCGCAATAAACCGGCGCATAGCCCAGGACTGCACTCTTTGCCGGCATCTTACAGCGTTCAAATCACCGTCCGACTGGCACGCGCGGCGCGCCCACTCCTTCGCGACGGAAATCCGGCTGGACTTTGTCGGAAATTGGAGGCGGCGCAGGCCGTCCAGTAGCCCCTGGGAGTCATGAGCTCATCAGGAGAGAACCTGATATCGGTCCAAGGATGCTCTGCATTTGCGTGCAGCGAACACAAGGCGCCCTTGTGGCGCCTGTATCCCTGATAGAATCTGCCATCTCATGACGTTGTCCCGGTGATTGGTGATAGACACGCATGACGAGTTTGCTACCAACAACGCAGAGTGAGAAGTTGTGGGGATGTAAGTACGCGACAGTGTGACGGCGAGATGGCCGCATACAGAGGGACGCGCGGTAAGCTGTCCTAGGATGTCCCCTCAGAGAGCTTGCGGTCGCTGTCGGGGGAGTGCAGGTCCCGAGGAGTCATTCCTAGGTGCCGTGCCGCCTTGTCTCAAGGAGGTTGCTCCTCTCCGCCTAATCGACAAAGTATGTGTAACTGTAACCGAACTGGGACCAATGACTACGTACATGTGTGGTCATCAGGGAGCACAGCTGGCTGGCTGACTGGCTGACTAGCTAGCTGTCCGTCTGTCCATCTGTCCGTCCCGAAAATTGGTCCGACAGGCGGTAACTCTGCGACTGTATGTCAGTTCCTGCATTGCACGGCACGACATGCACGGATACAATCCTATTCCAGATGGTATGCAAGTATCCTGATTTAACGATGCTCCGTGCGTCGCCGCAGCTGAGATGCTGAGATGCCACTTGTACTAGATCGGTCAGCGAGGGGTACTTCCGGATGTCGTCACTATCTTTAATTTTGATTAAGATGCTCGCCTTCGGCGCGGTATACGGCAGCAGAGCGCCGGTTTAATAGTCTTTCTGAGTCGACGAGTCGGGCCCAGCAGCATGGCGACCATATGGTCCGGGGAACAGCGTCCCGGAAACTGACGGCGTACGCCGAGCACCGAGTGGAATTGACGAACGCGGTGTCTGGATATCCGCACAGGCTAGTCGCAGCAAAGTGTGCGCTAGTGATTGCTGGAAAGGGTTCCGCACAACCTGGAGACGACATTCCGATGCTACTTAGAGCTGAGTCCCACACAATAGCCAACGGCTGCGTACCTGCAGACGGAAATACACCCCAGATCCGATCTCACTATGGTGGTTTGACTCTCAGCTGTTCTGTCCAACATTCCGTCTAGACACCCGCTAGACGCCGCTCCAGTCCGCCTAATCCGTCAGAACGCAGCCTCCTCTTCAGCACAGCAGATGTAAATCGGGAGTGTAGCGCAGGAAATCCATGGTATAACAATAGACGTCCTGCGAAAGATAAGAAAAATTAGCAGCCGCGAATGTCAGGCGCCCGCAGATGGAAAAGGGGCAAGCTGAAACTGGACATACGAACGGCCATGATACAGCCCATCGCGTTTGACTCTGACGTTAAGATTCTGCGCAAGGTCGGCATCCAGCGCACACCAAGCGCTATACGCTGCGAAAAACGTCAGTAAGAGTGGCCAGCCGGTGAAAACAGCACCGCGTACAGTGCAAAAGTCAGGGTCCTTAGAATGCACGCACGGGAGGACCAATGTTCGACTCTGCCTCCACAACTAACACATCGGAGCTCCGCTAGTGCGTCACGTACCCAAGAGTCGGCCTCGTCGTATTGCAAAGGGAGAGTAGAGTCAGGGCGCACCAGTGTAACACCGATTTGCAGTGATATACAAGGGCGATCGTAGTATGGAATGCAATTTGTGAGATAATTATCAGTATAGCGGACCCTCGTGGTTCTCTGTGCAGTGCACGTACCCCTCGCATATAATGTAACTAGGGGCAAAGCAGCAGAGGCTAATACCCTCGGTGCCGTTGTCCAAAGAATGGAGGATCAGTACGCTTTCACAATTCGGTGCTTACGCAGCACATGGAGTATTTGTATACCAATGCAGGTCGTGGTCCGGGTACAGCTCGCGGCTCGCCCAGCTAACACCGACGCGCGCTCGAGAAAGCTCGAGGGGAGCGGCGGGGTCTCCTCTTTTGGCGCTTGCCGCTTTGCCCCTCCCGCCTCCACCTCCCTCGAAATTCTAGGCCGAGATACGATCATCCGCACGGGGGACGCACGGAAGAATCTCTCGGAATCTACTTCTGCGATCGTTACTCAGAAAATTGTGCAGAGCGGGGCCGACCGTCAGGGGCTCTGACGTCGGCTTCATAAACCAGCCTGTGCGTCCTCTTGTCGTCCACTATAACCGCCATGCTCACGAATGCGCACAGCTCGTCGGCAGCACGTCTTACCGTGCTCACGCCACTGGTGCCACCGCAGGATAGTAGCTCGCCATCCCCACGGTCGTCTTCCAGCTCGGGTGAGTCGTCCGAACAGGCCACCACTCCCGTACGCCCGCCTTCAACGCCCCCACGCACGCGTTCGCGCACCGGATCACTCAGTACCGCGAATCATACGCGTCTTCGAAGCGGAAGAGCACGCTCGTACACTGCGAATATGCCTTTTTTTACTGCTACCGCGCCGTCTGCGGGCCCGAGCTCGATGCCTTCGACATCGCGCACGACAGCTAGTTTTCAACATCTAGACCTCGGCAGTCCTCCGCCATACTCTCCTGAGCCGCCAGAAATTGATCCCAATTCCCCATTTCTCGCGAAGCGTGCCGCGTCGTCGCCCCACCTGCAGTCGCCGCCACTGTCTCCGGACTCACCCCACGTGTATTCTCAGTCACACCCCACACTCCGCAGGCCGTCATCTTCTGCATTGCGTACCTCTGGTCACTCCTCTGTTCGTGCTCGGTCGATGCATGCGCGAGTTGAGACCGATGAAGACGACACAGACACCGCTTCTGGCGATGACGCGGTGGTTTATCGGTCGAGAGAACGGGAACGGCCGCCGTCGCGAGAGCGCGAACCGAGCCTCGCTGAAATTCTTCGCGAACGACTCTTTGGTAAGGGTAAGGGCCGGTCGGACGTTCCCGAACGGGTGCGCTTCATTACGACCGTGCCAGGGGTGCTCGGTGCTGGCGAGACAGAGACAGAGAGCGAGGACGCGGTGAGTAAGGCATCAATTGCTGCTGAGACACCTTATATTGCCTGGCCGCTCCCGCTCGTCTCTTGATTGGCAGCGGCCAAGCTTCTGATTAACGGTGTATCCTCTGACCGACTGACAGCTTGTATTCTCGTCGTCTATTCTGCATTTGGAATGAGAAGTTGACTTACGTGTTTACTGACCCTGTTCACTTTTTCTAGTCTCGAAACTTGCCAACTGCCCGACTCACTGCGCCTTCATCGCTTTCGTCCCGCACACTCTCTCCGCTAGCAGAGTCTATGGCAATCCCCATATCTTCAACAAGTTGCTGCAGCAAGCCACGTGCATCTCTCGCTCTAGGACCCTTGCTCTTTGAGTTTTCTCGGCTGTTATCTATTGTTCCTGCAGTGTTCGGCACGCTATGGAATATTTACAATACTGTGCGACCTCCTCATATGAGTTGGTGTAGGACTTCTGAGTACGCTGTCTGCGTACTGTGGGTGCGCACAACTCGCTGTCTCATAACTGTATTTATTTACAGTTGATGCAGTCTGTGTTGACAGGCTGGCAATGCCTGCAGTTGACGACAGGCCTTTTCAAACGATGGCGAGTCTATTACTCCCCTTTACCAACTCTCATCCGGCTCTTCGCCCTGCAAGGCAAGTATTGTCCCCTTTCGTATCCCGGTATCCTCACGGTCATCTCCTACAGCGATTTGCTGGCCAGCCACACACTTCACGCTGACACTTCTCAGCTATGAAGTGCGGCCCCTGATCTGCTGGGCAGTCATCGGCACCACAACATGCTGCAGCCGCTCTGTACAGATGTGGGTTACCTCGAATATCGTCGAGCCGCCGCATGCGAATCATGCGAACGGCACCGCGTCACCCGAGCTTAAGCGCCGATACCGCCGCCGGTGGGACTGGAACGCCGTCCTCCGCGAGTGCGCTCTTCCTGCTGGGATCGTGTATTTTATTATGGCATGGGTGCTTGCGCTCAGGTATGAGTTGGGGTAGTGCCAGTCCCCATTGTAAGTTCGGGATAGATTTTATGCTTGCTACTCCTGTACTGCTAGCCCTTGCTGGGACCCGCCTTGACGTATAATATAACGGAAACCGTTATTTACACAATGACTGTGATCATGGAGGAGGTATATCTTGCCCATAAAACGAACGCGTGCGATATTTCACCCCCACCCTCAAAGACCCATTGCACGGGCTGCCGGTGCCCGAAAGCAAGTGAGAAGATGGCATTGCATGCATGGGTCGATATGGTCATGGCTGATGATCTGTCTGATATCCTCTCGCAATACCGCTTCGTCCCTGTTCGAGCACACTCGGGGCGTCTTCGCCAACCCTCGTCTCCAAGCCTCGGTACGTTCGTGACTGCAGAAACTGGCCTACCAAAGCGTCGTTAGCACTGCCTAGTCGTAGAGTATAAAGAAGGGCGCACTTGCGGCGCTGCCTGACAGGACGGACAACGCATTTTCCTGATTTCGAAGCACAAGCGCCAAAGGGCTATCTTCGTCATTTCCGTCTGGACCCTCTGGGTGTGGCCCACCATAGCGTTTCGCTTGACGGTATGTCCCCGTTACGAGCGAGAACATCGGCCGGTCGACGTCCTCGTCTGACACTTCTGGTCGCTCGGCTGCAGAGTTAAAGTGAGTATCCAACAGTCAACATCCCGAGGCTGACACCAACCATCACTTCTGTCTGCCTCTCCTAATGCCAACTTCTCGAAATCCAGCACATACTGCCCCGTCCATAAGGGTTCCGGCTGAAGCGCGACCTCGAGTTCGTATGGCGTGATGATTGGGCGCAGGAACTCTTTGGCCTCAACGAGGCTGTTCTCGGGACATGCGACGAGCACGAAACACTCGATCTCGAGGAAGTTGCCGAGCTTCGCCGGGTTGAGCTTACCCACGGTGATCGTATAGCTCTTCTTCTGCGCGCGGGCGAGCAGCCGCCTCAGGCGTGAGATGAGTGGTAGATACGACGCGACGCCGAGCGTGCCAACGAGGATCCCGAAGACGTCCGCGTCGCGTGCCTTCTGCACAGCGGCGTACCGCCGCATTAGCAGCTTGTTCGTTCGTCCAGACTCGAGGCGCGTTGTCTTGAGTTTGGGGTCGTAGGAGTACACCTATACGAGATTAAATCATGAATCCATCCAAGTATAGGCCGAAGGCGTACATTTGAGGATGAATGCGTTAGTAGCAGGTTCGTGAGACCCAGGCTTTCGCCACCGATATAAAGAATTGTGTCGTGCTGATGCTCAGTGCCGTCCGCGTCCTCGCTATTCGATCTTATTGCAGGCTCAGCAGTCGCAGGCAAAGTGAATCGCGGCACCGGGTGATACCGCAAACTACTTGTCGAGGGCAACATGGCTCGCAGCTTGTCGGCGATAGATTCTGCTCGATTTGAGTTTCGGTGTGGGTGCTATCAATGTGATGCTCACTCACCAGCCGCATGGACGTAACGGACATCGGTCCGCAGAAGTATCTGCAATGACGCTGTCTCAAGTGACTGTAAAGTCTCCGAAAGTCTTGCCACACAGTCTTTGGCTCCTATCAGGCTCTTGCCAAATACATAAATGACAGGGAGCCTCGACGTTCTGGGACAGACGTGAGTGAGATGATCAGATTAGTGTTCGAGGGGGTACGTACTGACTCATGCAAGCATGCCCATAGTGCACCATGGCGTCCGCATCGACGTGCTGAGCAGCGACTTCATCAACACAGCAACTAAGCCCATCCGTTAGCATGGGTACATCTCGACGACGCAGTAGCCTGCCTGCCATATGAGGTGTCTGCGAGAACGTAGAAGTCATGTCCCGCTCCCGCCTTGGCTTTAAGTGTCCTGTAGATAGGTACGGAGAGATGAAGGAGCTCATCGGGGAACTGTAACACAATCTAATATTCTTTTTGTCGGCTGGGAAAGTGATGCAGATGGATGAACTTACATACACGCTTGTATTCATGCTTCAGCACCTCCTGCACTGTGCGTTCAATCTCGAAGAATTCCTCAAAGTCCTCAAGGGAAAGGTCGCGCGGCATTTCGTCTCCTTCTATATGTATCTGCCTGGCGATAGCTTCCTCGCCAGAGGCAGCAAACGTTGCTGTCTCGAACATGTTCGAGCTCAAACGATATTCAAAGCGACGAGTTTTGATTGGGCTGAAGACAAACGCTTTATGAGCTGTTCTACCGCAATAATGAGACCTGAAAGCTTAACAGTAAAGAAGACTACTAACTATCATCTGGATCGTGCGAGGTCAGAAAGGGCGAAGTGAAGGCTAAGAGCAAGCCCCAAGACGCATCGAGCAAATTACCGGAGCCCCTAGCGTTGGGTCTATCGGGAACAATTACGGCGCCTGCCGGAAGCTTGAGTGTTCGCTCGGCGCACGACAATTCGTCACTTTCCACGTCCAGCTCGTTGTCGGCCGGCCGAAATGTCTTCGACCGCTGCACCGTCTCCCAGCGTCGTCGAGCGCGTTCAAAACTTTGTCCAGGAGCACAAGAAGGTGGTTCTTATCGGAGCAGCCGTCGCAGTGGTTGCGATTGGCGGCGCCGCATACTACGCTTCGAGCTCTGCTTCAGAGCAGGCGGTACACAAAAAGGATAAGAAGAAGCCCAAGAGCAAGAAGAAGAAGGGAACGAGTGATGACGGTCCTCTGCTGGAGGAGGTTAAGCCGACAGCGGAGGGCGGCGAGGATGGTGCGTGTCCTGGCATGTTGAACGCGTTTTGCAAATTGATTCTCGGCAAATCGCAGACGATGAGCTGGTGATGACGAACGAGAGGATTGCTGCACTGTCTACAGAGGTGCGTATACTATATTTGCCGACAGCACGGAATGTTCACATTATTCCTCAGGAGCGCTCGAAAGTCGCCGCCTCTCTTAAAAGCAAGGGCAACACTGCGTACGGCAAGCGCGAGTTCAAGAAGGCGGCAGAGTACTACACGAAGGCCATTCAAGTGTCATCGAAGCCTGAGCCCACGTTCTTTAGCAACCGCGCTGCATGTAAGCTGTAGAAACGCGTCAGCGGACTGTCCAAACTGACTTTGAGTGAATAAGGCTACATGAACATGGCTCCTCCGCAATACGAGCAAGTTGTTGAGGACTGCGATGCTGCGCTGGCCCTGGATCGACGGTACGAGAAGGCCTTGGGCAGACGGGCAAACGCTATGGAGACGCTCGGCCGCTTTGAGGAGGCCCTTCGAGGTGCGTTGTTGGCATGTATTGATCAAGTGACACTAATTTTTGCGACAGATTTCACCGCGCTCACTATTTTCGAACAGTTCAAGAAGGAGACGACCACCAACGCTGTGGAACGAGTCCTCAAGAAGCTCGCTGAAACAAAAGCGAAGGAAATCCTGACTGTATGTGCTCTAAACGCACGTGGGAGGCTCGTGTAGCACTTACAGCAAACTCTAGGCGCGTCCGGAAGCACGGTTACCGGGCCAGACATTCATCTCTGCCTATTTCGGCGCGTTCCGTCCTCGTGAGTGTTCATTCTTAGACCTTCCATAGGAGCAAGTTGATGAACAGTATCAGGCCTTCTCCCAACGCTTCCTGAGAACTCAACTTCTGGCGATTGGAGGCTCTTGGACTCCCTCAAAGCCCTTGAGGCGCAGGACTACATCCACGCGCTCACGCTCGCGAACGAGGCTCTCGAGCAGGGTATCTCATGGGACGCTGGCAAGGCGGAAGCCCTTAACCTTCGGGGGACATTCAAGTAAGCCTTGGTGCATAATTGTTTCCTAACCGGACATTCATCACTGGCCTAGGTTCCTGACGGCTGATGTCGCCGGCGCGAAGGCCGATCTTGAGGCATCGATTGCGCTTGTTCCCAGCTACACTCAGAGCTGGGTCAAGGTCGCAAGCGTCTTCATGGAGCAGGGCGACCCCAAGAAGACATTCGAGTGCTTCGAGGAGGCCCTGAAGCACAACAAGAACGATCCCGATATCTTCTACCATCGCGGTCAAGTGCTGTTCATTATGGGCAAGTTTGAGGAGGCTGCGAATGATTACATCAAGTCTACCGAGCTCGATGACAACTTCGTGTTCAGCCACATTCAGCTCGCCGTCGCGCTGTACAAGACGCAGAACCTGTCCAAAGCGATGGACACCTTCCGTCAAACACTCCAAAGGTTCCCGCAACGCAGCGAACCATATAATTACTAGTGAGCAACGCGATCTGAGCCGTCTGACACGTGCTGACGTCCTGCAGCGGCGAACTCTTGCTGGATCAGGGCCGCTTCCAGGATGCCGTCGAAAAGTTTGAAAAGGCGATTGAGATTGAAAACGCTAAGCCGCCGCCGATGAACGTCCTTGCGCTCGTAAACAAAGGTCTAGCACTCTTCCAATGGAAGAACGACATCCGCGCGGCCGAGCAGTGCTGTGAGGAGGCTCTCCGCATTGACCCTGAGAGTGAGGCTGCCGTTGCGACGCTTGCTCAGCTCAGCCTGCAGCAGAACAAGATTGACGTTGCCGTGAAGCTGTTCGAGCGCCAGGCGGACCTGGCGCGCAGCGAGCCTGAGCTTGTCAGCGCGCTGACATACAAATACGTGTGTCGATTTTAGTCATCACATCTTCGAACTTACGCTGACTAGCTCTGCTGCAGGCATCGGCGTCACAGCTCCAGTTCATCCGTGACTACCCCGAGATGGCCACGTCACTATCTGGCATCGCGCAGGAGATGGCTAGGGGCGCATGAGCGTGGCATACCACCCACGCTGTTGGCTACGTGTGGGCTAAGGACACTTTCGTTAGCTACTAGCTATGTATATCCTTTTAATATTCTCACTGCGCTGAGTTTCAAAGCAAGTACCCCTCGCTCCTCTGACGTGTGCCCAAGTGGGGAGTTCGAAGCGATGTAATTAGGCTGGTTCTGCTAAGACCCCTTCTGCTCTCTGTCACAGGGTGTGTCATTAATTATTCTAGAAACCTTTGAGCTCTTTTAGCTGCAGCAGGCACGCCTCTGAGGGATCAGGGGCATTTGAGCCAGCTGTTGCATATTATTACTTGAAACCGATTCCGGCAGCTTCCGCGCCACGATGAAAGGTGTCTTGATGGCAGCACTCGCGAGAATTTTTTGCCCTGGCTGCCTCCACCGAGTCCACCCACGATATTCCTGTACACATCCCCATACGGTATGTTGATTAGCATGATGCCGCCCTCGATTGAAATCCGATAAGGACGCCAGCTTCCGAGACCTGGCATAACTACCAGATGGACGAAGCTGATGAACCGCAACATCACCCCACGCATTACAAAGCGACCGGAAATCTCGTCATCTCTGCGAAGGAAAGAGCTGTTACGCACGTTTTCGCGTACATACCGCCATCCTGGTCGAGCATTCGCCCGTGTTCGCGGACATGTTTACTTTGCCTGTGGTCGACGGCAACACTGAAACATACGATGGCGTGCTTTTGATTCATCTCCCAGATGATGCGCGGAGCTGATTCAGTTCGGCGGCCTAGACACGGGAACTTATTAAGTTACACCGGACTAGCCACCCAGAAGCGCCCATGAGCGGCTAAGACACGCTCAAGAATTTATGAAAAGCCCAAAAAATGGCATAGGCAGGAATCAAACCTGAGACCTAGAAGTAACCTCAATGCGCCACGCCACTAGGGCATAAGCTCTTGGAAGTGTAGAAACGGAATTACAATATATTACCATTTTTACACCTTGTCTTAGCTGCTCAAGTCTTATGTTCTACCATCCATACACTATTTTCCTGATATAAGGCATTTACTGGTGAATTACCCCTCATAGTGTTTCGTTAGCCAAGACCACGGCACGGCTAAGACACCGGCACGGCTCAGACGTTGGCATGGCTCAGACACTGGCGTGGCTCAGATGTTACCGTGGCTCAGATACTGGCGTGGCTCAGACGTTACCATGGCTCAGATACTGGCGTGGCTCAGACGTTACCATGGCTCAGACATTGGCGTGGCTCAGACGTTACTGTGGCTGGCTGTGGCTAAGACATACCATGTACGATACTACAACCTTACCGTAATTACAATAATTTCCAAGCAGCGCAACCGAGCATGAAACTCAGCAATAGAGTAGCGGGGCCCCTCGCCGAAACACCTGAAAAGAGAGGCCTCCTGCTTGAGGGGCCAACAGCGAAACCAGCCGACAGCACGGCGTGCCGCTCCTATGCGCGCGGTGTATAAAAGATCGATTTGGGGTTGTAGATGTACTTGATCTAGCAACCTGTTTCATCTTCCACGTAGTGGTGTATCTCGGACTGTCGAGAGAATAAGAGATGAGGTCACGGGAAAATGCGCTGATACTCACCACCTTGATTTCCGGAATATCTTTGAATGCCGAGGAGCATCTGCCTACAAGTCGCTCATACATGTATGCTTGCCTGGAGGACATCAGGGCCTCTCGTGAACAAACACAATATTAAATACTGACTTTCGTGCATACGCGCCGTGCCCCCTCATTCCTGATTCATCATGCTTCTCGCCAACATCGAGCCAGAAGTGTTGGTGAAACTTGAAGAAGCGGACCGTACGGGCCATCTCTTCATGGATGACCACTACCTCTTCTTCCCACCTCGCCTTTAGCGCACTCATCCGGAACCAATGAACCTTGATGACTGCCCGAGATTGTCAGCGTTACGAAATGATACAATACACCCTTCTGTACTTGCCTTCCTCTGCGTATGATTCAAAGTTCTCTGACACCTTGGTAGTGTCAAAAAACTCGAGCTCGTCCCAGATCCAAGACGGCTGCCTCTTGCTCTGGCCCAGTTCTTGATTGTCCATGCTGATGTCGAAGGGCCTAACATCCTTGTCCTCAAGAGGCTTCAACTGCTGTTCCTCGTTATTGTATCTGAGGGTGACCAGTGCTTGATAGGTCCGTCGGTATTCGTTTGCCGCATTGTGAACACTTCGCTCCTTGCTGTAAATCCCCGACTTCGACCTCATCGCCATAACGTGTCCTTCTGCCACCTGCTTGTCACGTTTTGCCACCCGATTCCGGAAAGTATAGCTCATGATCAGCTGCGTCCGCAGCGTATTCAGAGCGTCATTAGCTTGCCCCACACAGAGGGTGATCTTGATCTCCACTGCCGAGGCCATGCAAGGTCTTTTGCGCACGGACGCTGGGCAGGAAGAGGGCAAGATGACCGGGATACCATCCGCTGCTTGCCAGCAGGGCGACCAGCATTTTCAAAGGGGCTGGAGAGGTCCACGCCGCCACTTGCCCATGACTCAAGAGCTCTTTGCTCTCTCCTTCCCTTTCCCCTTGCCTGTCTTCTGTGGGGCACGTGTACAAGGATCTACATTGTACAGAGCGTGTTCGTCCAAGAGCTTGTCGAGGTCGTCCACGGGGTTGTTCTTCCTGTTGCTGTCACCATCAGAGTCAGAGCTGTTGCCCAGACCATCCTCTGAGCTGTTGTCCGAGCCCCCAGTATCCACCCTTTGGTGCATGTTTGATTAATCATGTGGCAGTAACTACTACAGTGTGTGATGTATTACTTACTAGTAACTGAGCTAGCAACCGCGTAGAGCCTGTAAAGCCTCTCTGGCACCTCTCGGCATGCTATATATGGTGTTTCCATCAACTGGGATTGAAATATAGACCACATTTGGGAGACATGCCATAACATACCGCTTTGGGCGCTTGTTTTTGTTTTATTACATGGGAAGGTGGAGAATATATGTTTGAGCATATTTGTCATACTAAACATATGTCAGAAACCAATATTGAGCCCGCTATTCACAAAATACTCGCCGAGAGTCGAGTTTTTGTGAATATAGCGCGGACTTAAGCAACCTTTAATCCGTGTCGGGATACCAGACCGTCCCGATGCATCTCCGGGACTTCGGCCACCTTTGCTCGCTTGCCGGCGCCATCTGGCACCGCCAGGTCGCTCGCCTGCCGTCGCACGCGCGCCCTCGTCTCCCTGCCGTCTGTTCTCGCGCAGTAGGCAGCCGACCGTGTAGTGTACCATGTAGCTACTGTAAATACATGTTTTTGCTCGCACGAGACGGCCTCGAGAGCATGCAGGAGGGGCGCGCGAAGGCACGCGAAGCGTGCGTGAGAGCCTGCGCTGTTCCCATCAGTGGCGGCGACCCGCGCACCCATTGCCATCCCGTCGTGAGGCAGATAACGAGCCGATGACCTTGTTATCTGCCTCGTGGCGGCTAATCCGGTGTCTCGACACGCATCTCGCAACTTATGGCCTGTCGAGACACCAGATTTTGGCTGGGCCATCAGCGTGCCATCAGCCATCGGGTGTCTCGACAGGAAATAAGCTGCTGGGTCCTGTCGAGACACCCGATGGCTCCCATCTTATCTGCTGGGACAGCTGGCGGCCCTTCGCGCATCCCGCGTGCGCGCCCGCTGTGTGCCCACGTCGTGTCCCGCCGTGTGCCCGCGTCGTGTCCCGCCGTGCTGTCCGCTTCGGGCGCCCTTTTTCCCACAGCTGTCTCTGCATGCCTCTGCATGGCGGCCGCTGTTCTCTCGGCCTCCCTTCCTCTCTGGCACACTCTTAGCCACCTGTAGCACTTTCTGTACATAGCAAGGTAGACTGTCAGCTCAGTATACATGCAGTTTTTGCTGCTACAGGCAGTCCTGGGCACTGTTTCGCAAAAATTGAAAGATTAAATCACTCTAAATTGAAGAAATAATGCTCCTGCACCTTCCAGCAGCTGCAGGAGGCCCCCGGAGGCTTGGTTGCTCATCTATAGTACCCACAACAGCCTTTGGCTTAGCTCTGAAGGGTTTTTTCAGCTCAAAATGCGTCAAATAATCAGCAAAAATGCGCTGTGGCTGCTTAGCAGGTGGAGGCCCCAGGAAGCTGACTAAGCAGACCTTGTCGCACTCCAAACCAGGCGTGCGCACCCCTTGCATCCTGACCGTCATCATGTTCAACCCTGCTGCCTCAAACTCAGCCTCTTTGCCACCTGCAACAGCTTGTGAGCTTCTGGATGAGAGGGACGTGTTCCCGCCTGATGTGAGAGACTTTGTACTGGCACAAACACTGAACTGAACCCCTGTCTGCTTGTGTAGCCACCTGCAGACAACCTGCCTGCTCCCAGTGATGAGCCTCTCGAGGCAGAGTACTCAGAGGACACAGACGAGACAGCTCTGTGGTCCAGCAATGACGAGATGATCAAAGAAATGGTCGAAGCCTGCATCCAGGACTTTGACGCACATGGCGATGAC